GTACTGTGAGATATCTACGGTGGCTGGGAAGTGCAAAACAAACTTACAAAGTGTGAAGCAGTTTTACAAAGCTTGAGACAAATTAACATTTTAATGAAACAAAAAAACGATCCGCAGAAAACTTTTATCAGCCCGAGAACAAATTTACAAACCACAAAATCTTGACGGAGAGGGAATGTACCAAATGCAGGAAGTGACTGAGTGAGAATAATATAATGAGAATATGTGTATTTGTATCAATGCTATGTGTAGTTAAAGAGAATCTCAATGTAAACTAAAGAGTGGAGAAGAACATACTGGAGAACAGGAAACATGCAGCAGGAGGTTCATTAGAGCACAGAGATGGTAGAGGTGGTGTGCAGACAGTCTATGGTCGTGCAGTGATCACAGGGAATAAAGGTCACCACCCCCTCCCACTGGCTCCAGGTGAATTCTCCTGATTATATCCTGCTTAAAAATTCTTCCTGACTTCTGTCCATTGGTAAAAGCACTTCACATCTTTCCACTCTGCAGACGTACAACAGAGCACATAGAAGCAGCAACTCTAAAAAAAAAAAAGTCGTCCGTACGGCCCGATACGTCAGCAGTGACAGCTCTTTCATTGGCTGCAGGCTGTCATTTTGTACACAGCGGCAGCCTGCAACACATCCTGAGGTTCTCTTCATGTGGAATATATGAGCTCAGATCTTCCCTGACGGCCTGTAATTTAGGAAAACAGAGAGGTGGACAGACAGAAAATGATTGTCAAGACTAACAGACAAACAAACAAAAAGGAAGCAGACCATGCAAACTGGAGAGAAAGAGATGAATGACTGTGAGCAAACAGAGGCCACATGTGCAAACACGAGAGGATTCCTGTCATGTGAATGTCTTTTTGTTTCAGTATAAAAACAGCTGTTTAATGTAAACATGGGTATCCATTCAACAAGAAAAATACTCACGAAGAAGTAGAATTTTTGAAGTCAAGTTTGAGTCAGAGACAAACATGTGATTGAAGCTTAGAAATATGCAGGTCAAGACGAATGCAGCCTGCGCCGGGCTTCGAGTAACCCAATCCCCCTTAAATGGTGGGTGATGAGTCGGGCACTGGTTTGGGCAGGGTCGAAGTTCAAGCATGTGTGGGATGCTAAGTCAACAGCGTCGTATTTTAAGGGATGATGTTCCCTGAAATGTTGCTATTTATACCAAATTACAACGTGCACCTCGGCTGGTAGCGAGAGCCAACTGAGCATTGATTTGAAAACACTTCCAATCAAACGTCTGCGTCGAGTTACGGGCGAGCTAAGTGAGCACCCGCTGCCTCCAGGGCTTCCAGTGTGGGGGGATGAAATTACAGCCTCTGCTGTGGTTTGTGATTCGGGCGTGCTAAGATGTCAGTCAGATTCCAAACACCGGCGAGAGAAGGCGGCTAATTGAAATGACATGTCAGAAAGATGCGATGATAACACGCTACTAATGTGGTTTCTCTCTGCGCTTGGGATCTGTCCCGAGCATGCTTTTAGAGCACATATCAAATGTCGAGCCGTTATTTCTTATTGAATTAAACTGAATAGAAGTCGAGCATTTTAGCCTTAACGGAAGTGTGCATTTTAAAGATACTCCCCCGTATTGGCCGAGTGGTCGGTTTGCACGTCCCATGTGCAGACGCTGTGGTCCTTGGAGTGGGCGGCTCAGGTTCAAATCCAACATGTTGCTTCTTTCCCTGCACGTTATCCCCCCCCCCTCTCTGTCTCTCTGTCTCTCTGTCTCTCTCTCTCTCCCTCTCTCTCTCTCTCTGTCTCTCTGTCTCTCTCACTCTCTCTCTCCCTCTCTCCTTGATTTCAGACTCTGTCCTCTGTCCTTCTCTTAAAGCCTATCGCCTCTCCCCTGCAGCGTTGTAACTGTCCCTTTAAATAAAAAACAAAAACAGGAGATGTAACTTTATTATCCTCCCCCCCTCGGAGATCCACCACAGGCATTTTCATATTCCCCTGTCATAAGCAATAAGTTTGAAATGATTGACGTTAATAAAGATGCTTTCCTATTTACAGAGCACAACAAAAAGAACGACCCACCCGCCCCTCTTCTATTCAACTGTAATTAAGAATCAATCTGTGGCCATCGGACTGTTCCTGGAATTTGCGGTATGGGTTTATTATTTAGCTTTTTTGTTTTTGTTTTTCAGGACGCCTCGTCTGCTTCAGCTTGTCTTTGTTCGGTCGGATGAGAATATGTGATTGTTTAAGAGACACAGAGAGCAGAAACAAGGTCACACTCCTTATCAATCACTCCTCCCTATCAGAGCTCGACCGACTAGTCAATCAGCCGATAATATCGATGTTAACGTATCCAGTGACTATCAGTATCGGCTAATTTTATCTCAGCTTTGCACTGATATTACTGATTTATTCACCAGTAAATAGCATTTCATTTGAGTATCATTGTATTGAACCAGCAGTTCTCTTTCACCAGCAGGGGGCGCTATATGGATTACAACAAGTGATCTTTCATAAAAAAGTTTCACAGGAATGATTTCAGCCAATTATCTGACACTGTGTCCTAACAGCACACGAGCGTTAGAAAACGTTTTTTATCGCATATGATCGCACGCTCGCTGTCCACAATCTGTTAAATACTTTATTCTCTGCTCTGTGAATTTCAGTTTTGAAGGTGGACAAACTGAAGAGTGGTACTTTTATTTTTAAGGTGGACAAACAGAAGACTGGTGCTTTTATTTTGAAGGTGGACAAACTGAAGAGTGGTGTTTTTATTTTGAAGGTGGGCAAACTGAAGAGTGGTGTTTTTATTTTGAAGCGTGGTGCTTTGTATTGACTTTGTATTTCTGTAATCTGTTGACTCAAATCACAACACTCAGAGGCTCGTGGTGAGCTGAATAAAGTTGTTCTCCGGTGTTGACACAGGTCAAAGGTAAATATTTCAATCCTGATGTGGAAATTATTAATGCACCGTTATCTCCACTTTGTAAAACAAGCTAATGAGCTCTGCTGAGGGAGGAGAGAGAGGGTCAGCGCCGTGTAGAGCCCCTTCCTTCCTCCTATCTCGTTCCTCTTCTGCTACGCGGGTGACAAAGAAGAAAATAGAAAGGGGGTGTCAGAGTAAAAACGGCCGGCCTGCTCTGCCTTGCTCGAGGGCAGTTAGAACACTCCAATAGGAAACAAAAGAATCAAGCTGATTTTGTCACTGAGGCTTGCTCAGGTCGTGCGCTGTTTCTCACACAGACTAAAAACTCTACCACAAATTAAAGATTGATATCCTGATATTTTAATGTGGACATTAAATTGCTCTCTGTGCATGGTGTCGTTCCGGCTGCTCAGGTTGAAGTCCGTCATCGTTGCAGGTTTGGACATTTGTTCTTCATGATTACAATTCAAAATGTTTGGGTCGCAGGGGGCCCTCAGTCTGCCAGTTGCCCACCGCTGCCTTATTATATCGATGAGAACACGTACATACCAAAGTGAGTAAAAACGTTATTCAGCTCAAAGAATGAGTGCGTTCAAAGAAACTGAAGACGTTTGTCTAGGGAGATGTTTTTCAGCGCTACCAAAGGAAGGCAAATTTGTGAATCTACACCAGACGTCTCAAATGTGGAAATTTTATGTTGCAGCAAAACTCTTAATCATGTCCTCATTAAAGGAACAATATGATCCACATAAATATATAAATCATAAATCCAGTCTATCCTGTGTAAATGTGTCTCTGAGTCATGACTGTCTACAATGAGGGAGAAGCTCGAGTCCCGCTGGCTGTGTTGTTGTCAGAGCTGTGTTTACATGGACGGGACGGCCGTCTCCTCCCCTTGTGTATAAAAGCTGTTTCAGTCAACGACTAGAGAGAAGAAGAAGAACATACTCACTGATTATTTGGATTTTAGTAAGAGTTTTTAGATCACGCTCATTCTGTGTCAGTTTACATGAAATCTGAAGCTACGAGCTAACTAAAGAGTGCTAACATTAGCATGCTAACACAACAATGTGAAGCTACGAGCTAACTAAAGAGCGCTAACATTAGCATGCTAACACAACAATGCAGGACACAGGTAAAAGTAAAAGACAATTTTGTCCGCGGCTTGAAGGCCACAGAACAAAGGGATCAGCTGTGTGGACCAAAGTAGTTACATAAACCTTAAAGTCACCTTGACCTCTGTGTACAAAGACTCCACTGATCAGCGGGAACCTCTCCGGTTCAGATCCTCGTGTGCTGGTTCACATTTCCAAGCTGTGAGCTCATACATATTCTCAACTCTTCAGCTGAGTGTGGACGCTGAGTTTACCAAACGCCTTGAACCAGGGAGAATAGAGTCTTCTGTTTGGACTTCTATACCACATACCACAGGAGGACACCTACATACCACCTCCATAACACCTCTGTGACACACACTTCCTGGACACACACCACCTCAGGACACACACCACCTCTGGACACACACCACCTCTGGACACACACCACCTCTGGACACACAAACCGGATGTGTCCTGGAAGCTGTAACCTGAGTCCTGCACATTTCGACCACAGTAAATTTTGAAAGAATCCCGGAGACCATTAATGAGTCTGCTGTTTGACTCGTCAGGAACACACTCCTGACAACCCCGCCACAATAAAACTGAATAAAATTCAGTGAGGAAGGCACTGAATCATTGTTAAATGAAGAGGAAAAGCTTCTTTTCTTTAACCCTGCTCATGGTTTGAAGATGTGTTGAAATGAAGGAATGAGCCTTAATCACATCCAAATGAAATCAGTGTGCACTGGCTTCAGTTTGAAACAGCTGGATCTGGATCTGCAGAGACCAGTTTGAATCTGGCTCTGCTCTGCCGTCCTCTCTGTGAGTCTGCCGTGCAGCTACTTTACACAGAAAGGACATAAAGTTCAGACGAGCATCCACGGCTGCCGGCAGGAAATACTTACAGAAAACTTTAAAGGGTTCTCCAAATAGTCCAGCACTAAGTTCTACCTTTACAGTGCAGACAATGAAAGACACTCAGAAAAGGACAAGATGACTTACTTTGAAGAGGTTTCGTCCTTTCAGACCATTTGTTCAGAGGTGTTTTTTTAGATTATTCCAGTGAGAGTCAGGACGGCTGGATGTAGAAAGCCGAGCAGTTTCTCTCTTTTGCTCACTCGCTCGCTGTCTGTCCACCAGCCGCGTCAACCAGGGCTCACTGGGCTGATGTAAGACACCCCCACAAATAGGGAAAAAAAAGGAGGGAGAGGAGAGAAAGAAGGAAAGAGAGAGATAGAGAGAGGGGGGGGGGGGCCTTCACATTCTGTGGATTCCTGGGAGCTTGCCAGAGAGCCAGAAATCCACATGCCACACATACGGTTTCAATTAGGGTTGAATCCAGCCCTCCATCAGAACGCTTTCTTCCTCCTGAAAAGAGTCTTTCTTCTCTCTGACAGTTAGAGACTGAAGAGACCATGATTTGTGGCTGCTGTCTTCTGGAGTCATTTCTCTGTCGTCTCCTCACAAACATATCAAGCTTTTAGAGTGTTTTTGTTTTACTGGATGACGTTCAAGTATTCAACAGTTTCAGTTTAAAGGTAACATTTGGGTTTCAGTTTAGGTTTTTTGTTGACTCTTTTTTATTTCAACTCTTTTAAACTTCTGCTCGTCTTCTCATACACTCCTTGACCACATCACCCCCGTCCCTCATAACCTCCACTGGCTCCCCCTCCCCCAGCGGATCAACTTCAAACTCCTTATTACCACCTACAAAGCCCTCCATCACCTGGCTCCCCCGAGGTCCGAGAGATCGTCCTCCATGATGTCAGTTTGTGTTTTGCTGCTTCTGTTGTCTGATCTGTTTCACAATTTTGAATGATTTTTGGAAATGTGAGAGAAGATGCATCAAAGTTAAGTTTTCCTGTCAAAGAAAAGTTTCCTGCAGAGCAGGGGTGGGCAACTGGAGGGCCGGAGGCCACAAACGATCCCCCTCCTCATTCAAAGTGGCCCCCAAGTTGCCAAGATCCTGAGTTCAAATTTATTATAACATGAAAAATAGACATTTGTCAGAATGGGTGAAACTGGAGTCCCATCGATGGCGGTCTCCATGCTGGAAATGCTGTCTCAGTCTAACTTTCAGTCAACCTAACGACAGGCTGAGAGCTGGAGCTGAGGCAGGTTTTAAACCTCCTGACAAACCGTTACACCACGCCCACCTGTCAATCAGATCAGCTACACGCCTCATTGTGAATAACTCTTATCCTTCATCAAATCAAAACTGATGAGTCATCAAAACATTCACCCCCCCCGTACAGTGTGTCCATCGAGACATGAGCTAATCACACCTATTTGGTTTTTTGAACCAGGCTGTAAACATGTTAATCTCTGCTGTAAAAACAGGCTTTTTAGAATGGGTGTGTATGTGACTTCCTGTGCTTCTGCAGCCAGCCTCTAGTGGACACTCCAGGAACTGCAGGATTTTTCAGCATCGGCTTCATTTGTCAAACCTGGAGCTTGCTGCATGGACTGTACTCGATTAAAAATTGCAAAACTGCAGAGGAGATACCTGCACACTTACTCAACTGGGCTGATCCGGTCCCATCACCATGACAACTCTACACCAAGCTGTTATATGCATACTGCATCTCATGGACACGTAGTGTTATAATTTCTAAGGACACAAGGTGCACAACCAACGCTACAAACTACAGCAGGATGAGGAATGCTGATGTCCTGCGTTCATGTACGTGTAGTTAAAAGCATGTTTACTCAGGCACACACACGCGCGCGCACACACACACACACACACACACACACAAGATAGCAACACATTCAATGATTTGTATTCAGGACATTTCTTTAATCGCTAACTTCTCTTCAATGATTATAAGAAGTATATAAATACCCCCCGGAGCCCGTACCATGTACTCAGATTACATGTCAGATTATTTCATCTCAGCCCAACGTCGTATAAAAATCATCAGATAAAACGTGTAGATGGTTCATTCCACCTGTTGAGCATCCATTAGTACATAAAAAAATAAGTCTCATAAGCAAAATAAATAGATGCACCTGACGACTGCTTCATCCAGTCAGTGTGACAGAGACTTCGTCCTTCATTTAGTGTGTTCAAGTGCTCCTCAACACAAAGACAAACTGACATCGACATACAACGCAGAGAAAAGATCGTAAACGATACATGGTGCTCATTCATCTCGTACAGCCTCGCTCAGGAACACATGCATATGACATTTGCTATTGCACAGCGATGACATCACAGTATCTCCCTGCATACGTGGAGAGACAAAGGGAGGTCGGTCTTTGGGTTGTCACTGTCTCTCTCTCTCCTTCACCGCCCTAAACTCCGTTCTTCACCAGCTCATGGACGCCGTTCTCATCGATCATCAGGGTTGGATGAAAGTCTCGTCCTTTCACCAACTCTTCAAGGCCCTTAAAGTCAGCAAAGGACATCGTTAGAGGGTGGACAGGTTAGTTTTTGAACGACATCTGGTATTTTAATTTGAAAAACGCTTTTCCTCCGTACCTCTCCCCCGTAGGACACCAGGGGGGAAATCTCACATTTGATTGGTAGGTCTGTTCCATCCTTCAGGCTGCGTAGGAAAGGAACAAATACAAAGAGGACGAGTTTAAAAAAAAAAAAAAGAAGAGAAGAAACAGAATGAGTGATTGTCTCATGAAAAGGAAAAGGGAGGAAGTTGAAAAGAAGCAGCTGTACGCCGGCGCTGACACAGCTGTTCTTCTACTGCAGCTTGTGATTAGAGAGGCAGAGAATCAGCGCTTCCAAACATGACCAGTGATTAGCCCTCTGACCTGTAACAATCCCTCTCTGGAAGAAAACACATGAATGACAGGTAATGTTGTCTAGCATCTCCTTTCATTGCTCCTGAGAAACTGGAGAAACTTTGCAACACATTGCAGCCATCCAATTATTCCTTTAAAGGTCACATATTCAAAATCCTTTTCTCCATGTTCCTCTAACTCTAATATGTGTCTCTAGTCCGTCTACAAACCCCCCAATGATGAGAAAAGTCCATCCTCTCCATCTTTTGCCTGCTCCACTTTTCAGAAACTGTGTGTTCAAACAGGCCGTTTGGAGATTTTCCCTTCATGACATCACAAAGGGCAGTAACCCCTCCCCCAGGTGGGTGACACTCCCACAGCTAGGTGTTTGTTCTGCCTTCTGAGTCTGCCTTCTCACCATAAACAATAGGACATGGAGCGAGAAAGACCGAGACACACAAGCCCTTCCAGAGAGGGGGCGTGGTCAGACACAGCTCATTTACATATTTAAAGGTACAGACACAGAAACAGCCTGTTCTGAGCAGGGCTGAAATAGAGGGGTTTATAGACATGATCAAATACAGGATCAGAGTGGATTTAGAACAAGAAACTTCACACACATGTTTAGAGGAGCTCTGAGACTTATTTAAACTGAAGAAGGAGGAGAATATGTGACCTTTAAGATAATCATTACAGATATCACTAATCACACATCAGGTAGATTAGGTGTTTTCTAAAGCATCTGCCCGCACAGCTGTATCATGAGACAGGAGAGAAAGCTGATTAAGAAAAGGGTTAGCATTCATGACGCCTGTGCTCAGGTACCATGAATGCTATTAAAGCACATGCTAACTTTAAATAAAAAAATAAAAAAAGGTTGGAATCAACCCTCCCACAAATCAGCAGGTTCATCATTTGTTGCAGAGGTGTCACCAGGAAAGAGTATCTGTCGCCCATTACCCAGCATGCAATACATCATGTGTATTATTAGTAGCAACCATCGGAAAGGGAAACGATCCATCAGCAGCTCATTTTGACTGCACATCATCTGAAGAGGATTTTTTTGAACTGATCCTTGCTGTCGTTTCCTTCATCACCACTGACAATACAAAAGAACAGCTGTGTTCTCGTTTTCAGTGAAGAAGAAAAAGGAAAGAGGACGTCAAGTATCAGCGCTATTGAGTGTGAAGACATCTGAGCGAGAGGGAGAGGAAGCCAAAAACCCTGTCACCATGCACTGGGTACTGCAGGGGGATAATAATTACTTTCTGGTGCCAGCATCTGAGACACTGCCTGCTGCTCCGTCTCTGGAAACATTGCACGAGACACACAGAAGCACGACCAACATATGAGAGTGTGAGGCTTAAAGAATATCACGTCTTAAATACAGAGAAAAAAGCCTGGTGAATGTATGTTGTGTGGCGTTCATGGCAGAAGTGACCACAGGGAGAACCCTATTGAAGGTGTGTGTGTTGTCACATGACATGCATGATGCTGTGTGTGAGCAGACCTGGGGATGGCGGGCACACGTCTGCCGTTCTCGTCGATGAAGTGGCCCCCGGCGTTGAGCACCCAGCGGTGGTGGAGAGACATGAGGGTGTGTCTGGCCGTGGTGGGCGTGTCCTTTCCTTCCTGACTGTCTGCGTTCTTCAGAGGGGAGAACTCGTCCTCCCGCAGCACCTCGTACACAACAAACTTTCTGTTGGACACACACAGCAGCACATCAGCACACACACACACACCAAAGGGTTGACATGGGCAGCTTTTTGAATGCAGGAATCTCCTCCTAAGGGTTAGGGTTCCTCCTAAACATAAACCGATATTATCACCCAGTATATCGGTCTCTTATTTTCCCATATCGGTCGAGACCTACCCAGAACGTCACATCACTGCTAGTAGCAAGCGGGCAATGGCAGGCAGCAGAGCTAACTAGGATAATGTAGACATCACTCCCTCTCAGGAATAAAACTGCTGAGTGGACATAATTGATATCGACATCTGTATCGGCCCCCGAAAATCTCACATAATCTCATGATTCAGTGTCCTGCTAATCGAAGGCTTCTTATTCATCCTAAAGATGCTGCTAAAGTCAGAGGCGTGTCGCTCGACCATATATGGGCATACTAAGATTCAGTTCAGATAAAAGAGAGCAGACACCAAGTCTGCCGAACAGGCCAGATATGAGGGGAGACGCCACTGAGTGACCCAAGTTGTAGCAGTAACGGCCTACACTATCAGTGCAGCTGTGACTGCTGTCAGGATCAGGGAGTTAGCTACTGTAAGTGAGAGCAGAGGTCACACTAATCTGTAAAGAGGCTGTGACCCTGAGCTTGACTCGGTATGAGATAAGATCAGTACAGTGAGATCAGATCCTGACCTTTAAATCTGACTGAGACGTCTGTACGTCCACAGAGATCTCCATCCACTATGACTCGAGGACTTTACATGCTAAGAGGACTTTGCTGATTCTCTGCTGCACCTATTGCATCAGTGGAAACTCAGCAGCCAGTAGTCATGCTGGTCAGACTTACGATGGCGGCTAAAATGTTCCTGAAATGAAGCACCGTGTAAAAAGCACCCTCGTTAAATCAAAGTCCAACATTGTTTAGACCTCGAGCCGACACTAAAAAGGTCAATGAATAAAACGGTTTACGAGGAACAGGGCTTCACTCCTTCCTGATGAGAGCTGCACACCAACTAACTGCTATTTTTTTTTAGAGTCTCTGATTGGATCAAATTCTGATCAGACTTCATTTTGGAGCAGCGTATCTATTTTTTTAAAGGAGCGGTATGTAACCCCCTAGTGTTTAAAATGGGTACTGCAGTCTAAATTCTAAACATTATAGAGAGAAGTCAGAATCTCTACATTACATACACGGAGCAAATAAATAAAGTTGAACAAACGTGACTAAGAAAAAGGAGAAAGACTTTCTGTTGAAGCTGCCAACTCCACGACTGGAATCCACCAACCGGGCAACATCACCTATTTTTCGTCCATTTCACTGTGAAGTCTTTGCAAACTAACCACGAGGAGCTGCAGTATTTTTCCATCCTTCATCTTTTTCACAGGAATCCTTTCATTAGATGTAAAGTTCTATTAGCGGTGGCATGACTCAAAGCTGATGTCATGACACACTGGAGGAGGAGGTGGAATGAGAGCTCATAAACCTCCGTCCTCCTACAAAGAGGGCTTGGCAGGCTCTGCTCCTGGACCAGACCTCGGAGCAGGAGCAGGAGCAGGAGCAGGACCGGAGCTGGTGCAGAGGGATCGGGTATGGAAAAATGGGTTTGGTTCAAAAAAAAGGAGGGACAGATCAAGGACCAGTCAAACTCCAGACCCGAGGCCTGCCAGAGGAATATATGCAATGTAGTCGCCTCTCAAAAGGGAGCTTCTGATATTCTCTAGACTTGAACGTCTTTCAGTCTGTGCCCGTTTTGAAAAGAAAATACAACAACACACTGAAACTCACTTGGCGAACTGGAAGATGTCAAAGACAAACTTTTCCATTTTGATTCCATTTGGTTTGTCCGGTTTGACGAGTTGACCCTGTGCGTCCACATACGGGATCTTCTTCTGGGCCACGTGGTGCTGCAGCTGCGGCTCGTACTTCCTGATGGAGAAACAGGAAGAAGAAGTTAGGGCGCAGGTTCATCCTTCTACATTTAAAGCATTGGTTCACAACCAGAAGGAGGGGTCAGGCTCTGAGAGTAAAAAGACTAAATATGCACATTTTGAAAACCTGTCAGCAGCTTGTTCCTTCAAAATAAAACACAGACATCTCCTAAAGTAAAGACAGAGTCAGCAGCTTGTTCCTTCAAAATAAAAGACAGACTTCTCCTAAAGTAAAGACAGAGTCAGCAGCTTGTTCCTTCAAAATAAAAGACAGACTTCTCCTAAAGTAAAGACAGAGTCAGCAGCTTGTTCCTTCAAAATAAAAGACAGACTTTTCCTAAAGTAAAGACAGTCAGCAGCTTGTTCCTTCAAAATAAAATACAGACTTCTCCTAAAGTAAAGACAGAGTCAGCAGCTTGTTCCTTCAAAATAAAAGACAGACTTTTCCTAAAGTAAAGACAGTCAGCAGCTTGTTCCTTCAAAATAAAATACAGACTTCTCCTAAAGTAAAGACAGAGTCAGCAGCTTGTTCCTTCAAAATAAAATACAGACTTCTCCTAAAGTAAAGACAGAGTCAGCAGCTTGTTCCTTCAAAATAAAAGACAGACTTCTCCTAAAGTAAAGACAGAGTCAGCAGCTTGTTCCTTCAAAATAAAACACAGACTTCTCCTAAAGTAAAGACAGAGTCAGCAGCTTGTTCCTTCAAAATAAAAGACAGACTTTTCCTAAAGTAAAGACAGTCAGCAGCTTGTTCCTTCAAAATAAAATACAGACTTCTCCTAAAGTAAAGACAGTCAGCAGCTTGTTCCTTCAAAATAAAATACAGACTTCTCCTAAAGTAAAGACAGAGTCAGCAGCTTGTTCCTTCAAAATAAAAGACAGACATCTCCTAAAGTAAAGACAGAGTCAGCAGCTTGTTCCTTCAAAATAAAAGACAGACTTCTCCTAAAATAAAGACAGAGTCAGCAGCTTGTTCCTTCAAAATAAAAGACAGACTTCTCCTAAAATAAAGACAGAGTCAGCAGCTTGTTCCTTCAAAATAAAAGACAGACTTCTCCTAAAGTAAAGACAGTCAGCAGTTTGTTCCTTCAAAATAAAAGACAGACTTCTCCTAAAGTAAAGACAGAGTCAGCAGTTTGTTCCTTCAAAATAAAAGACAGACTTCTACTAAAATAAAAACAGAGTCAGCAGCGTGTTCCTTCAAAATAAAACAGAGACTTCTCCTAAAATAAAGACAGAGGCAGCAGTTTGTTCCTTCAAAATAAAACACAGACTTCTCCTAAAGTAGAGCTGCTCCATCGGTTTAAACGACTTACTCTACGACGTCTTTGAGGAAAGAGAAGCTAAAGAAGTGGTTGGCCACGTTTCCTGCGTTAAACATCAGTCGGCCGTCGCTGCTGCGCTTCTCGGCGGTTGCCAGGGTGATCTCGCTGTACTCCACCACCTGGTAACGCCCATCCACCTTGCAGACCACACCCACTGCCTCTGTTGGATTGGTTTTCTCCACCACCTGGAAACAAAAGTCACAAGAGTTCTCTACTTAGTGAAGGGCGGAAACGGAAACTCAAGCTACCAAGACGAGAGAGCTTCAAGCTTTAGCTTTAATGATGCTAAATGCTAAGAATAGATGTGTGAGATGGAGATGGGGTTGTGAGGCAGTATATTTAACTGCACAGGAAGGCGTTAAATATGTTTCAAAGTTGAGGTACTTTTATCAATAGGACTTTACATTTTAGACTCGCTGATGTGTATTCTTCTTTGTTTTACAGTCAGTGAGTTAAAGTGTCTCCCCATCTGTTTCCTGCTAATCACAGAGCGTCCTGATGAGGGGGTTTGTGGACAGGGTGGGACGAGGGGGGGGGGGGGGCAGGGAGAAGAAGCCACATGAACTGTAACTCAGCTCAGAGATTTATGAGGGGAGGGTAGGATTCTCTGCTTCGCCACAGAAACTCTTCACGTCACACAGAGAGAAGGGGGTCGGAGCTCAGAAACATCAGAAACAAAGCTCCTCCTCCTCTCCAGATCTTTAACTATCAACACTTCTCCCTTCCAGATTACTCTCTCTCTGCACGCCTCAGCCAATCACCACTAAAACGTTTACAGTGCGTCCAAAATGCTGCCAGATTATTCACCCGAACCAGCCGATGCTCCCACGTATCCCCCCGTTCTCACCTCCCTTCATAAGCTTTCTCTGACTCTTTGTCCTGTTTCTTTTTTCCTCATTCTTTATTGAAACAACATCATATTACAGGCAGTACAACAGCCTAGCAAATTTAATGAATGTTAAAACCCAGCTATCCCTCTAACCACCCTCCTTCCCCCAGACATAATGAACACAGACATAACATCCTTATTCAGTTAGAGGAAGTTCTATATTAAATCTGTCCATAACAACATTGTGTTTGATTGTGCATCAATAACTCTTGTTGATGATATTTCCAGGTAGGAAATGTCCAAAAATATCTGTCCTGTTTCTAAACTAAGGACAGAACTGATTCACCTGATGAACCTTTACATCGGAGGGAGACAAGCATGTTTTTCTGACATATCCGCCGCCAGCACCGAGGGGCCACGCGGCCTCGGGTGCGGGGATCTCAAAACCGGTAATGATCCTTCCGCAGGTTCACCTACGGAAACCTTGTTACGACTTTTACTTCCTCTAGATAGTCAAGTTTGAATATGGATATGTCAGAAAAACATGCTTGTGTTCCATCACACGCTGGACGTCGGCTGCACTGACACATTAAACGGTTTGTTTACCAAAGGGAAATAGTTTCACCCTGAAAGCTTCTTTTTCCTGCCCGTTTCCTGAAAGTACGCTCTGTCCACAGAAGAAGAAGAAGGAAAGAGCGGACATCTTCACATTATCTGAGATGAGCACGACGACGGTGAGCAGTTAAAGAAACTCTCAGCGCTGCTCTCACATCTCCTGAAGCTGTAATCAATTCAAGTGTTCAAGTAGAACCACAGGAGACGGCAAAGAGGCCTGTGTCTCCCCCCAGTGGTGATGAGTGAGAGGTGCAGTTGTTAGACAAACTAACCACACCCTGTTGAAGACGATAATCCTGCATCCCCCCCGCCTTTAAGGAGTTCATCTTCAGAACATGTTAATGTTCAACAGCCACCTCATCTTTCTTTCTGCTTGTAACTGTAAAAAACCTGCTGATGACAGAGAAACTGAATCTACCACCGCTTGACTTGTGATCTGCGCTGGTCTTCAGACCACTTTTTAAAGGTCTCAGAATCTACACACTCTTACTCAGTCGTAAAGGAGACAGAGCATTTGTAGCTCGGGCTCCTCGGCTGTGGAACGACCTGCCTGAGGATCTCAGATGAGCTACATCAGTATCTTCTTTTAAAAACACATTTTTATCATAAGGTCTTCTTATAATCCTTGTTTCATCCATGATGTTTTATTTGTTTATCTGTTAACTTTAGCCAATCTTTGTCTCGGTTGTTTCTCTTTTCTCTGTTCATTGGATGATTGCTGCACTGTTGTTTTATTTTTCATGCTTTTTTAATAGTATTTTATTGTTGTTTATTTGACTGTGTCTGTAAAGCACTTTGTGACGTTTGTTTTGATAAGTGCTTTATAAATAAATTTTATTATTATTATTATTATTATTGTCCCGGTCTCAGACTGGGCGGCTTTTAAATCAAGACCACCACTGATCAGCTATTTTTCCTCATTACTGAGATCAGAAGGAAAACGCCTCTTTTTAAAAGAACAAATAACTTTGATTCATTTGTAGTTTGATTTTTATCTCCTTGGTTATGGCTGCAACCTTCCCGGTGTTACAGTCCAAGTTAGTGACACGCCCCCTAAACACAAGATGATGATTTATCTGTGATATTTATGATTCATTTATCGATCTTGCAGCACTCTGGTCTCAGTTAGTTTGGTCTTGACTACAACACTAGTATACGGTCAAAAGAAACACAGCAGCATGTTTCGTCTTTCAGAGTCGTGTCGGCGTACGCGTGAAGGAGGAGACGTTGTGATTTTTTGAAAACGTTACAGTCAGTCTGAAATCTCTCGCCACTCGCTTCAACGTGAACACGCCATTCTGTGGTGGTGTCTGAAGTCTGAGTGAGCGTCATCATACCCTGTGTAGAGAACTCACTGTATCCCACAATGCACTGGGAAAAGTAGAGTACAGCCGATGTTCACTGCAATATATCCGATCATGCATTGCTGTGGTGTTTGAGTTGATGGCTCTGCTGAGCGAGGTGTGTCTGAAATGTTTTCTATAACTCCCTCTAGAGGGACGAGGAGTGAGGGAGCGAGCGAGGGAGGGCGTGGACTTTCTCTGATTATTTGTCTTTAATCAGTGAAACCTTATCTTGATGTTTTGACTTCCTGCTCGGGTGAAAGGTAAGAGAGTTTATCATGTTTGCAGGAGCAGATTAATGAAGAACAAGTTTATCAAAGTGCCTTATCAGCGGGACGTGATAACAACAGCTGGTCATATCCCCGCCGTGCAAACAAGAGAGATTATTGGACGCTGGGTAAAGAAAGAGAGGGTGACATCATCATGACATAACAGCTGATTCCTCTTAGGGGGAACACACACGAGGCCCAGAAGTCCGGTACCCTGCTGAAGCTCGACCTCAAAGCCCGACCGATTAATCAGCAGGCCGATATCAGCACATCATGTGACCACTTTACTATCTGCCGATGTAACTTTAATCCATTTCTAAGTCAGGTTTAGTGTTTCAGAGCACTGTTGTTATTCTGACCAATGAAAGCTTTTTCTTCAACTGTAACAATAAATCATGTCATCTTTATAAATCTGTTTCACAAAGTGTTTGATGGATCGCTATAACTGAGTGTTTGTCTATCTCTAAAGATTCACAAGAGAAAGTAGACAGATATCGGCCTCAAACATCCCGTATCAGTTGGGCTCCTACTTCACATCCTTGAAAATACCCTGAATGCAGAAAACAAATATAAAGACATAAAGAGCAGAACGAGTGACCAACCTTGGCTCCACAGTCCGCTCCCTTCTGCACACAGAAACCAACGAAGGCGGGGTCAGCCACTTTGACCAGGATGTTATCCACACAGTACACATGGATGGATTCAACGCCCCTCCGCTCCATGTCCCCCATGATGCCCTGGTGCCCCAAGGCTCTGTAGAGACCCCCGTTTCCATCTGAAACACAGACACACACACTTATAGAAAACACTTCACCATCCAGATGTTACATGTGGTGCAGTGAGGGAGGGGGCTTACCGGGGGCCATGGCGAGCTTCCCCTTGTTCTCCAGGATGATCTTTCCTTGGTAGTCCATGGCGGGGAGCATGCCCTGCTGGAAGAAGACCACGTTGTCCTTGCCCAGGCCAAAGAAGTTGTGTTTTGAGAAGAAGTCCTTTGTGGACTGTATCGTCCTGCCACTGGTCATGATGTACCTGAAGGCAACACAGAAGCAGCCTGAGAGTTATGTCATCTACACGCTGCTTTCATTTATGTAACAGAAACACACCAGGTAGCTGATGATAGATGTTGTTTATGTTTGTTTGATTTTTTTTGTTTTGATTTTTTTTTTATATATATTTTTTATTACATTTTTGAACAAGCAGGACAAAGAAACATACACATGACAGCAGGGACTTAAATGATCAAATTAAAAGATCACATAGGATTTAAAAACAATCCAAACAAGACAGTGTCATACATGGACAAATCTATATCACAGATTTCAGACATGATGGAACAGGGAATATACAACATAAGCAAGACGTTGTTTATGTTTATAGTCGAGGAGACGAGACCTGCAAATCAGCAGAGCTCAACCTGAGCGAGAGAACTTTAGTCCATGACAAACAATAAAAGTGAACGACTTCCTTATAGAACTAGAGCTGCTGATGATGTGTCCTATGTGTTATATGAGCTCCACTGCCTTCCTGCTATCTGCATCATTAAGTTTTCAAACTGTCCTTGGATCCAGTCCACAGGGAACTAATCCTTTTTTAACTTCCTTCACTGAGTTTCTTTTGATGCTGGCAGAGATTTGACCCACTTAGTCATCATCATCAAACACAACTAAGGCAGCTTTCGTTCTGAATAGAAAACAGACTGAAGGGGGGGGGGGGGGGGCTGTGCAGGAAGACGTGTCCTTGTTTCTGCACTTTAACCAAACCGGCACACTCTCATCACACCACCATCACATCCTGCTGTCTTACCAGGGAATGCAGCACTTGACTTTGTGCTTCTGCTCAGCCAGCTGCTGCAGCTTCAGTATGCGCTCAGCCTGGATCTGGAAGAGGGTCTTGTGGGACGGCAACCCCACGTCATACATGCCTTTGGGGTACGAGACCCCCAGTCTGGTCCCCTGGCCTCCAGCCAGCAGCAGCACGGCAACTTTACTCTGAGAGATGCAGTGCAGACCTACAGGAGGAAAAGACCAAGAAGAGTTCTCATTAAAGCAGATCATAAACAGAACCCGTCAGCAAAAACGAGCTACATGCTGTTTTGTCCCTTCAGGCTCCCCGTAGATAATCGTCCTCAGTGTCTCCCTGTAGTCTCAGTGATGTAAAAGAAGAACACTGCTGCATCTTTGAATGTCTCATTTCACTTTAACAAACTCTCAGACAGCTCAGCTGACCAGTCCAAAGTAATATCCACCTTATGACATCACACATTGACCTTATGACATCACACATTGACCTTATGACATCACACATTGAACTTCATGTCCTAACCTTCACTCTACAGGAAGGGCCTTCAAAAGAAAAGCACACAGCAAGTTAAGTACACTCAGCTTAAGACAGTACAAAATTTCTAAATAAAAGCCCAACAATTTCTTAATTTTCAAAAGTGAAATAATGGAAGAGTCCGCCTTAAAAGCATCCAATGAGAGCAACGCGTTAAGACTCAGCTCTTTCTGTGATTCCTTCAGGTCAGTTCTGATTTTTAGAAGAGGCGGTAAGAAACGGTCCTGACACTGAAGAGTTCCTGTTCTCTTCTGACTGATGGAGGTCAAGAGGTCAGGAGGACGCAGACCTGATGACACCAACAAACATTGAGGGGTTTAAAGTGAGTGATGCAGTGCGTGCACGTGGAATCATCACTGTAGTTCATGAGGAGTTTAAAATCGTTTGAGAGCTCTGATCATAAAATCCAACATGCAATTTGACATTGTCTCTGATAAATGACAAACGCCCAGCGCTTTACGACTTGTCCTCCTGGACTCTGGCGAAAATACAACACACACACACACACACACACACACACACACACACCACACACACACACACACACACACACACACACACACACACACACCACACACACACACACACCACACACACACACACACACACACACACACACACACACACACACACACACACACACACACACACACACACACCACACACACACACACACACACACAACCACACACACACACACACACACACACACACCACACACACACACACACACACACACACACACACACACACACACACACAAATCAGAACCAGATGTTTGCGTTCTCCCCCAGGACGACCTCAACACACTCCTAAACGTGTGTAAAGTTGCGCAAAGAATCATAGACGTCAGACCTACGCAGAGACTGGGGAGGGTTTGTTTTTAAAGTTTCTGATGGGGCCGTCCTGATTGGCTACTTCATACAGACTTAATTTGAATGTGATGTTTGTGCATCAGCCTCAATGATCAGCACAGGGTTTCATCCTCTATGTTCCTCTCTCTCATCAGCTGTGAGTCATCACTTTGTATTTCAGCGTGAGTCAACTACAACACTTATAGGTGTATCAGTATCACTCCAGGTTTAACTGGCCAGGGCTTACCAGAGAATGTGTATTAGCTCACAGGTGTTCTGCTACTGTCTGAACCTGTAAATGTTAAATATCCTCTTCCTTCACCCTTCACTGGATGATGATGTAATTAGTTTGAGTGAGCTCACCTTCCAGCTCCCAGTCTTTAAGACTCTCCCTGTCCCTCGTCACACTCCCGAGCACCTCCCTGGGCACCGGCTCCATACGGGCGTCCATCTTCTCCTGCTTGCTGCTGCCGGATGTCTCCATGGCACTTTTGAAGAATCCATTGATCTCCTGAAAGTCCATGACCTGCAGCTCCTGGACGAGGTCGCCCTGCTCCTCCGGGCTCAGCTCGGTCCAGAACTGCAGGAGGTGAAGTTGGCCGGCTTTGGCCAGCTTCTGGGAAAGTCCGCTGGTACTCGGGTCCATGATCAGCAGTGCTTTTTTTATGAAATCTGCCACCCTGAAACACACAGGATAACCGGGGATGACTGGTACATTTTAGTTTCTGTTTCTGGAGAAGAGTATTTTTAACTTCTTGTAAAACCAGCATTGTGAAACCAGCATAACCAGTGAAGATACTTCTGGAATGTGTGATGAATTTAATTTGAACTCACACCCTCAATGAGCAGCTCGCTGGACCAGGAAATCATCACAACACATGAACACATCACAGGAGGGATCTTTGAGTCTACCACCAATTATTACAATAAAAATGATTTAAAAGTTATTAGCTGTAACAAATCAGCATGGTACGAATACTCATACTTTCAGATTCTTGGTTCCCAGAAGGTTTAGTCTTCAGTCGGGACTTTAAGTGAAGATGTTTTTATCTCACAGAAGAAGAGCCTACATTACGTGGTAGCAGAGACGCTGTTAAAGGCAGCTCATACTAACCTCTGTAATTCACATTAAACGTGTTCCCTGTGCACACTCAGTTCAAATCCTTGTTTTTAGCGGCTGTGTTCAGCATGAGCAGGATGATGATGGTGACAGCAGAGCAGAGAGCGGCTCACGGCGGATTCAACTCTGCACAATCATAACAAAATGTTAAATGACTTATTCAAATCTTACCTCTGACAAGTGTCCCTCTTCTCTTAATAACCTAAAGTCAATGCCTGCCGACGTCTGTGGGGTTGCTCGTCCTGGTTATGACGCCTCCCACCCGGACTACACCTCCTGTTACGTCATGTTTGACGTGGCATTCGCTGCGGCGCCGAAGGAGTGTGGGCGGTGTTGCTTTCAGGGACTGCTCGTAAATGTAACCACTTCTGATCCTGATGTCAAAGTGTAATTGTGTAAAAAAAAAAAAAAAAACAGAACTTGTTGTCATGGAAACTGAAAGCTTACAAACACAGTTGTGTGAGGTAACTTTAAGTACTTTTACTCAGTGTTATATTTCAGTTTAGTTTGTATGTCACTACTTCAGGGGGTCCCATATTTTTCAGCTTGCAACCCCAAAAATAATGGTCCCAGAGACAGGGACTCCCCCATCCCTGAGACTGTGGAACCCCCTCCCTGTCCCAGAGACCGTGGACCCCCCCGTCCCAGAGACTGTGAACCCCCTCTTGTCCCAGAGACCATGGACCTCATAAAAATGTGAGAAATAAACACACGTGTTTTAATGTTCCTGTGTACTGAGCAGCAGACACATGCGGTGCAGCTTCATTTACAAACTTACATTTGAAGTTTTTGTAGTATTTATTTTTTTAATTTGTATTGTGAAACCACACTCCATTTCAGTAGGTGGCGGTAATGCGCCTTTAAACCGCCATTAAAAAAAACGAAGAAGAAGACTTGTTGTGGTCCTTCTCCTAGCTAAACAGTAGTTAGCTGCTCTTCGTTTATTTGTGTTTCGTTTTAGACTCGTTGTTTTTTTGTGACAGCCAAAGGAAATGAAGAAGTTTTTCGAGGACATTAAGAAAGATGTTAAATTTAAGTCTGCGGGACCCGGGAAGAAACTAACGGATGACACAAGGTAAATAAAAGCCAAACTTTGCTCAGCTGCTACATCGTTAGCCACGAAGCTAACTGTCATAGCTGTGTACGGTTTGCAGAAATGGGAAAAGTCATGGACGACTGCTGGTCATTAATGGTTATAAAGGGTTTATAATAGCATGTCGTTATGTTTACTACTCTGATAATAGTATATATGTTTTAAACGGGCCTCTCCGCTGTTGTTAGCGTCGTTATATAATAACATCCACAGTTAGACAGGTAATCCACGAAGAAGAAGATTACTCAGTCAGAGTACTAAGGGACTTAACCTAAGTGACGTCATGGAGACAGTCAGTCTACTACTCAATACTGCCAGAACCAGACTCATGATGAACAGACAGAAACCTGGAACAGAACCAGACTCATGATGAACAGACAGAAACCTGGAACAGAACCAGACTCATGTTGAACAAACAGAACCAGACTCATGTTGAACAGACAGAAACCTGGAACAGAACCAGACTCATGTTGAACAAACAGAACCAGACTCATGTTGAACAAACAGAACCAGACTCATGATGAACAGACAGAACCAGACTCATGATGAACAAACAGAACCAGACTCATGATGAACAACAGAACCAGACTCATGTTGAACAAACAGAACCAGACTCATGATGAACAAACAGAACCAGACTCATGTTGAACAAACAGAACCAGACTCATGATGAACAAACAGAACCAGACTCATGTTGAACAAACAGAACCAGACTCATGATGAACAGACAGAAACCTGGAACAGAACCAGACTCATGTTGAACAAACAGAACCAGACTCATGATGAACAAACAGAACCAGACTCATGATGAACAGACAGAACCAGACTCATGATGAACAAACAGAACCAGACTCATGATGAACAACAGAACAACAGAACCAGACTCATGTTGAACAAACAGAACCAGACTCATGATGAACAAACAGAACCAGACTCATGTTGAACAAACAGAACCAGACTCATGATGAACAAACAGAACCAGACTCATGTTGAACAAACAGAACCAGACTCATGATGAACAGACAGAAACCTGGAACAGAACCAGACTCATGTTGAACAAACAGAACCAGACTCATGATGAACAAACAGAACCAGACTCATGTTGAACAAACAGAACCAGACTCATGATGAACAGACAGAACCAGACTCATGATGAACAGACAGAAACCTGGAACAGAACCAGACTCATGTAGAACAAACAGAAACCTGGAACAGATCCAGACTCATGATGAACAAACAGAACCAGACTCATGTTGAACAGACAGAACCTTGGAACAGAACCAGACCCGATCCTAAACAAAAGTCTCTTCATTTTGTTTCTTGTCCTCATCACTCTGTAGTGAGAAGCAGAAGGCCGTGCAGAGCAGCTCGAGTGCCAAGAATAACCGTTATGCTCCCAGTGATGGAGCCAAGATGGCGGGAGCTGCAGCCCTGGCCAGGATCGAACAGCATCAGAGGCCGAAGGTCCACACCTCTCAGGACGCGATCAGGAACCAGGGTGAGACTCTTACTGGTGTCTGATATGAAACTAAGGTCATCGCTCACACTTCTAACATGCTTTGAGTAATGTTTCTCCTTTCTTTACACGTTATAATGAAGATTCAGATATTATTACTCCCTTTATTTTGATGCTCTGTTATGCACTCTGTTGACCGGCTGCAGTAAAACGAGAGCTGGAGGCGGAGGCAGCTGCACTGGCTGAAAAAGAAAACGTGGCTGCAGCAGAGGTCGGTATGCAGTACAGCTGTAAGACACCATGAGCATCATCAGTGATCAGTATTTAATGTGATGATATGGGGGAATTCTCTACAGGGGTCCAAAGTGCCGGTGAAGGATCCCGCCTGCCTGTCGGTGTCAGGTGTGTATTTCACCTGCCCACTAACTGGAGCCATTCTGACTAAGAGTGAGAGGGAGGTTCACATTAAAGAGGCCATCTTAATGGTATGTCCCAAAACCCGTCTTCACTGTTTGTCGTTTAGGGTCAAATGTAAACTTCTCTGCTTCATGTGAACATGGCTGACTCCTGTTGATTCAACATGAACTGTGTTTTGACTGTCAGCGGTTTGAAGAGGATGAAGTGGAGGCCTCTGTTATGATGATCCACACGTTCAACAAAGACCGGGAGAAAGTCAAGGCCGCCGTGGACATCATAAGCAAGTAAGGCCTGGAGATTTAAAATATCTTAAACAATGTTGAAAACCTGAGAGAGTCGACACATGATGACAGATAATGACAGATTAACAGTTCATATCGTGTGTGGAGAGCAACGAGACGGACTCAGCACGCATCACACTAACACATTCATTCACTAGTCTCCACTCTCAGGACTCGTCATCCCACGCCGTCAAACGCCACTAAAGAGTAAACAAACATTGTGGTCGAGCTAATTGCTTTTCATTCAAAATTTGAGATTATATGTTTTTTTGTTTTTCTTAACTTTATTGTTTTTTTTAATGAAATAAAATTGACAAATAAAAAAAATAATAATAATAATTGTGGCTAGCTGTTAGCTCCCTGTGGTTTCTTTTTACAGACATGTTGTTGCTCCTCCGTTTGTGACGTCCATCTAACTTTAAGCTTCGCGTTTGCTGTCGTCGCCATGGTGATGTTTGTTCCTGCTTCAGTCAGCTTGCTTCCTGATTGGCTCTTGTTTCGTTCCACGTGACAATCCACAGAGTGCGTGCTTGGCCGTCCTCGGTGTTCTCCCCCCACACAACAGGATTTCTAACAATAAATATTGCACATGTTTAATATTTACTGTTTTAAATCAGGGCGGCTCATGATCGTCGTCGGAGCAGATCGAGGAGGTTAAAATCAGTCTTAACAGACCTCACACCACGGGAACATCTGGCAAGATAATCAGGCTTTTGCTGACTTTGGTCAGAAGGGGGGAGTCGGTTATCTTGTAGTGTGCCCCCAGCTTTAGACACTCTGTCACTTATAGGAGGTAGAGGATTGTCTTCCAGATAAGGCTGCCTCTGACGTCACACAGGGTCAAACATCTGCATGAACTGACTGTGATATTAAGTATTGTCATGTGTTTCTATGACAGGTATGTTGATAACATCTGTAAGAATCCCACAGAGGAGAAATACAGGAAGATCAAACTCAGCAACAAGGTGTTCCAGGTGTGTCTGCAGAATCCACCTCCAACATTCATGAATATGACGACTGTCTTCCTAAACACCACGATGGGAAAGTACGATCGTATTTGTTTTGTTTTCATGCTTCTGTTTTTTTTTTTATTTCAGGAGAAGGTTAACTGTGTGGAGGGCAGCAGAGAGTTCCTGCAGGCCTTGGAGTTCACAAGCCTCATGCTTCCTGTAGAGGGTCAAGGTAAACAGATCCTTACAACACGCTGCGAGAGTCTATGTTCAAAATAATAATAATGATAGACTGAGTATATAAAGCCCCTTTAAGGGACCCGAGGATGCTTTACATGGTGGAGGGACGAGACAAAAAAAAAAGAACTGAGGGAGCAGAGGATGGAGAGGCGGAGTTCAGGGAGGTGGTTTGAGAAGTCTTTTTGAAAGATGGAGCAATGTGGATGTCTGAGGCGAGGGTGCTCCAGGGGGTGGGGGGTGGGTCGTTGTGAAGCTGAAGACTCTGTTTCCATAGGGGCGGAGTCTGGTGTGTGGGATGGAGAGAAGGCCAGCGTCTGAGGACCGTAGAGGTTTCAGGATGTGGTGTGGTGGTGTAAGAGAGGAGGAGTATTCTGATTCAGGATCTAATTGGGAGCCAGAGGAGGTGGATGATTGTTGGGGTGATGTGCTGCCAGGTCTTGGTAGAGTGGAGTTTTGGACCTTTGCTGGTCACCCCAGATAGGACTCCATTACAGGCGTAATGAGGGCTTCTGCCACAGAGTTGGGGAGTAATGGCTGGAGTCGAGAGGTTTTTTTTAATTGAAGAAGGCAGATTTAGTGACAGATCTGACTCGGGATTGGAATGAGAGGTGGCGGACCTCAGAGGACGGGGGGCGGAGCACCCGTCAACTTCCAGTAAAATATCTCAAACCTTCCTGAGCAGTGCCTCTGAGGCCTCACAACCATGAGCTCAGTTTATGT